AGCCACCTTTTAAACTATTTACGTTGTAAGGATACTGCCTTATTTATTCACAAGCCACCTTTTTCACTTATTACGTTGTAAGGATACTGCCTTATTTATTCATACGCCACCTTTTTCACTATTTACGTTGTAAGGATACTGCCTTATTTATTCATACGCCACCTTTTTCACTTTTTACGTTGTAAGGATACTGCCTTATTTATTCATACGCCACCTTTTTCACTATTTACGTTGTAAGGATACTGCCTTATTTTTTCACAAGCCACCTTTTTCACTTTTTACGTTGTAAGGATACTGCCTTATTTATTCATACGCCACCTTTTTCACTATTTACGTTGTAAGGATACAACCTTATTTATTCATAAGCCGCCTTCTTACTATTTACGTTGTAAGGATATTGCCATATTTATTCATAAGCCACCTTTTAAACTATTTACGTTGTAAGGATACTGCCTTATTTATTCATAAGCTACAATTTCCACTATTCGCGCTGTTAGGATACTGCTTTATTTATTCATACGCCACCTTTTTTACTTTTTACGTTGTAAGGGTACTGCCTCGTTTATTCATAAGCCATATTTCCCACTATTCGCGATGTTAGGAAACTGCTTTATTTATTCATAAGACACATTTTTCACTATTTGCTTTGTAAGAATATTCTTTCATTGACGTATATGTCACAATGTAATGATTGATTGATTGTTGGTTGGTTGCTTAACGTCCAGTGGCGATAAGTATTCATGCATGTTCAGGACAAGAACAAATTAGCAATATATACAATAGGTAGGTCCTGTAATATAGGCCAGCCGGGATGAAGGTCGGAAAATTTAGACTACCACTGAAAAATGAGGGTAAATTGGATAGGGACAGAAATTTAGCCTTGCAACAGGCCACCTACGGATCCCTCAAAGAGTTGTTGCAAGGGTTCTTGACGTGCTGAGAGCGTGGCACTCTCTTTACACGAAACATCGGATTTAACGTTCCCATTCTGACCGGACGTGGCTGCGTACTTGATACATCCCGCACAGCCGAACGGACGCCCCACTTTGGCAAGGGCTTTACTGCCGGTCGGAAGAAGACCTGTAGTGACCATACTTCTATTCATTACATTACTTGTGTAAAACAATTCAAGCAGGAAAACCAACGGTCTAATCTATATATTGTTTGTTTTATTATTGATGTCGTCAGTGTATTGTGTTATTGACGTATATGACAAATGCGCTCTTTTAAGATATTTGTAGTTTTGGTATGGTTTCCATGACGTAAATGTCACATCTCTTTTGTATTCGCGTCGTAAGGGTTCTGTCTTTCTGAGGAATATGCCGTTTACATTATTTGCGTTGTTATGATACTGCCTCGATGACACATAAGACTTTTTCACAATTTGCTGTGTAAGGGTACTCTCTCATTGACGTAGATGCCACATCTTTTGTTTTATCATGGACGTTGTATGACACATTTTTTCATTATGTGTTTCGTTGGAGTTCTGTTTCCTTGTCAAATATGCCACATCTTTGATTATTATTTTTGTCCTACTTTACTGTATCCTCGACGGATATCAACATATTTATTAAACACCTATATGCCACAACATTGCTTTTATTATTTGTGTCGTTTGAGTCTTATAGAAGTATATGCCACACCATTTTATTGTTGTTGGAGTTATGTCTGATTTTCGTTAATGCCACATTATTTAACTACTTGCATCGTTAGTGTACTTTCACGTTGGCGAAAATGCCACAGCTTTTTATTATTAGTGTCGTTGGTTTACTGTCTCATTAACGTATGTGACATAATTTTTTTTCAAATTATTTGTTTCATTGGAGTTCCGTCTTACTGCGTATATGCAACCTCTTTTTATTATTTTTGTGGTAGGGGTACTCTTTCTCTAGCGCCCCCCCCCCCCTCCCGAAGGGTGACTGGGGAATAGAAGTATGGTCACCATTGGTCTTCCTCCAACTGGCAGTAAAATCCTTGCTAAAGTGGGGCGTCCGTTTGGCTGTGCGGGATGTACAAATTTGCAGCCACGTCCGGTCAAAATGGGGACGTTAAATCCGATGACTCGTGTAAAGAGAGTGCCACGCTCTTTGCACCTTAAGAACCCTTGAAACAACTCTTTGAGGGGTCCGTAGGTGACCTGTTATAAGGCTAAATTTCTGTCCCTATCCAATATACCCTCATTTCCCGTGGCAGTCTAAATTTCTCCGACCGTAATCCCGAAAGCCCCTATTACAGAACCTACCTATTGTATTCATTGTTAATTTGTTCTCGTCCTGAATATGCATGAAATATTTGCCACTGGACGTTAAGCAACCAACAATCAGTCAATCAATCTTTCTCTAGCGTATATGCAATATTTGCTTCTCTTGTCTCATTCACTGTTTTGCTTTGTGATGATTCTGTCTTGTTGATGTACCACTATTTTTAATGTACAGATACTTTTTTATTGACGAAAATGACACAAGTTTTTTTTATTATTTGCGATGTTGGAGTATTATGTCATTAGGGTTTATGCGACATATTTCTATAATTTGTTTCGCCGGATACTGTCTCGTTAACGTCTATGTCACATACATTTTTTTAGTATTGTTTCTTCGACATATTTGACACATTTTAATTTGTTATTTGTGTCGTTGGGAGTCCGGTCTCATTGACGTATATGTCCTTTTTTTCGTCGTTGGAGTAGTTTCACTGAATAACATTCTACACTTTGTTTCAGTTATATGTGTTGTTTGAGTTTTGATTCATTGACGTATATATATATATTTACAGATCTATTATTGTTGGGCTGTTATGTAGACGAATTACATATACAGAATGTGTTTTCAGCCTTGTATCACCATGACTGGTGATCCGATGGATAAAATCTGTCGTAGAGTTATCACTGGATCAGACATACTTATATGTATATTCGAAGGAAGAGTGGGGAATAGAAATATGGACAGTACATGTTTCTTCTGACCGGCAGAAAAATACCTTGCCACAGTGGGGCGTCGTTTAGCTGTGCGGGATGACAAGTACGCAGCCACATCCGTTCAGAATGGGGACGTTAAATATAATGCCTCATGTCGAGAGAGCAGCATGCTCCCTGCACGTTAAGAACCCTTGCAACATTTCTTTGAGCGGTCCGTAGGTGGCTTGTTGCAAGGCAACATTTCTGTCCCTATTCACCCTCATTTTTCAGTGGCAGTCAATATATCCCGACTTCATAGATGCCAACCCCATTGAGTGCAATCAGTAAAAAGATATTCACATTTCCGTAATTTGTGTTTTTTTTCAGTAATATTAACGTAAAATTTTATAATCATATGAACAACTGGGCACACAGTGATATGATTGGTTATTGATCGCTAAACGTCCAGTGGCATATATTTCATGTATATTTAGGAAGAGAACAAATTTACAGTAAATTCAAAAGGTAGGTCCTTTAATACAGATTGTCCGGGATGAGGGTCGGAAAAATTTACACTGCCACTGAAAAATGAGGGTATATGGGATATGGGACAGACATTTCGCATTGCAACAGGCCACCTACGATCCTATCAAAGAGTTGTTTCAATGGTTCTTATCGTATTGTGTGTAGCACTCTTTTTTCAAGAGGTATATGAATTAACGTCCCCATTCCGACCGGACGTGGCTGCCTACTTGTACATCCACCACAGCCAAACGGACACCCAATTTGGCAAGAGTAGTACAGCCTAATGGAAGAAAACCTGTAGTGACCATATTTATATTTCTTAGTCACCTTTTGGGTGTCATTCAGTGACAAAACGATGTCAGTTATTTATCAGATCTACGATTCAAAGTTGATTAGCAAATGACCATCGCGTTAAATGGAAATATTTTTCATATTATATACAAAAGGCATAATGGTCCGGCTTTCTAGTTTTCTTTCTTTGTTTCAGAAATTTAAATTGTTACACCAGACATTGTAAAATTAAAAACAAAGACTTGTTTCGATCATTAATTATTCAATATTAAAGTATTTTTTTTACTGGTAGTCCCGATTGATTGTTGGTTGCTTAATGCCCAATGGCAAATATTTCATGCTTGTTCAAAACGAGAAGTTAACAATAACTTCAATAGGTAGGTATTACAATAGAGGCTGTCCGGGATGAAGGTCGGGAAAATTTAGAATACCGCGGGAAAATGAGGGTATATTGAAGAGGGACAGAAATTTAGCATTACAAAAGGCCACCTACGAACCCCTCAAAGAGTTGTTGTAAGGGTTCTTAACGTTCAAAGAGCGTTGCACTCTCTCTACACGAGGCATCGGATTTAACGTCTTCATTCTGTCTGGACGTGGCTGCGTACTTGATACATCCCTCACAGCCAAACGGACACCACATCTTTCTTTAGTACTTGTGTCGTTAAGGTTGCATCTCTTATGCCATACCTTTTTTTCATTATATGAGTCGTAAGTCTCATTGACGTTTTTTCCGCATCTTCTTTTTTTTCGAATATGGCGAATATGACAAACCTTTTTTGTTTCTTTGTGTCGTTTGGTTACTGTCTCATTCACACATGTCACATCTTTTGTTTTATGTCCTTGGAGAAATGCATAATGACGTAGATTTTTTTAATATAATTAGTGCCGTTAGGGTACTCTCTCATTGACGTATATTTTCACATCTTTGATTTCGTTTGCGTATGGTGTCACTGATGTATACCCCTTGGGCTTTCTTGCCCTGACCTTCATTTTCGTTAGGACGTGAAATATTAATGGTTGGTTCAATAACGTCCAGTGATAAATATAAATTGTATTGTGGCAAAACTCTCCTTCATATTAAGGACCATACGAATAAGAAATTGATGTAATACGTATATTAAAGTCTACTGGAACGGACTGGAGGTGGGGTGGGGTTGTTGTTGATCTTTTTAGGCTATAAACTGGAGAATGGAAGTGATACATGAAAATTTAAAAGTTGTTCTATTTGCTAAACATCCGTATAGAATCTTTTTATTTCGAGGACAGAATAAAATAGAGGACATACATATGATTACAATCTAACTAATAATCTTTATTGCAAAAATCAAACCTCAACGGGATGAAATGCAAACATTATATGTTCACAAGAAGCATACAACACATAAAAAAGTTCTAAACGAGTCAAGTTAATAGTACGTACATAAAACTACTTTTGTCGGTTTTCAAAAGCTGCTCTGAAGTATATTGTAAGTTTTCACCAACCATCACAACCTAACCGTCAAATAGAAGTAAAGAAAGATCAACAATTTTTGGGTCTAAGCAAAATTTCTCTTTAATTTCATATACATAATTGTTTTGTTGTCGTACATAAAATAACGCAAACACATAAAAATATACTTAAATAAAATCGGAATACGGAATATCTTATACAGAACTTATAAGAAAGCAAGGTAGTAATTTTGTAAAATGAATCATAATTGGTTAAATTGAATTTGTTTTTGGTAGATAGCACACAAACAAATAAAATTCATTTAGAATGACTCAATGCAAAAACACATCCGAATTCGAATGAAATAATTTAAGTTCATTTATGCAAGTTTCTTTATCACGTAAAAAAAAAAAAGATTTCCGTTATCTCTATTACAAACAAGCAGAATATTTTCTTGCATGATAAAATTAATTCCAAACGGCGAATTCAATACATTTGATTAAGTAAGAATTTTTTATCTAGATGAAAACGCCTGATAACATTTTTCTGGATAACATCCTTCTCATAAGAGTGTGAATTATATATAAAAGATAAAGAGCATGTACATTGTTTCTTACTCGGAAATTTTTTTTGATTTTTCATATTGAATTATATAGAACAATTGAATGTTCAAATGTTTTAAAAATGCGGAAAACATAATATTCGAACCACATTATTCAAATACAACAGCCTAGATGATCCAAGTTACATTTTCAAAATTAATCATAATCTTTCCGTTATTTTGTTTTCAATGATAACATTTTTCTGGATAACATCCTTCTCATAAGAGTGTGAATTATATATAAAAGATAAAGAGCATGTACATTGTTTCTTACTCGGAAATTTTTTTTGATTTTTCATATTGAATTATATAGAACAATTGAATGTTCAAATGTTTTAAAAATGCGGAAAACATAATATTCGAACCACATTATTCAAATACAACAGCCTAGATGATCCAAGTTACATTTTCAAAATTAATCATAATCTTTCCGTTATTTTGTTTTCAATGGAAATTTAACTTGATGTAGGATACAAAGTTATTGGAACACAGTCATATCAGTCTGTATGGTGTTAGACCATATGTTATTTGTACTCGATTAACATCAATTTAAACCAAAACAAAACTGTCATCAAATTAAGAAATACACACATTGATAAACTTAAAAAATGTGATATAGTTTGGTATGAATAAAATAATTAATTGGTTTATCTGTTGGTTGTGTATCGTACAGTGGCAAATATATTATACATGTTCAGGATGAGAACAAATAAACGATGTATATATCTGAATTATTTGTATTTAAAATGTACATGTAAGACTACCTGGGTGAAAGAAGCAGATGGATTGGCAATGAAGGAAAAAGACAGCATCCCAACGACACAATACAATTTTAAATTTGTAAAGATTTTATTTACAACCTACACATCCGTTAAGAGAATGTCTGTATTTCGAATAATTGTCTTAAACAATTTATATGTGGTTTTGAAAGATGTGATGATATATAACTTGAATTATATTTTTTTCTCCAACTATCAAACCCTAAATTGACGTGAATCAAAGAACAACATGTCTTTGTAACATTTCTCTAAATTTCAATTTAAAGTTGATTTGTTGTCACACATTAAAATAAAAAGAGTTAATCACAAAAAACATGAACATAATAAATTGTTAATATTGTCCTTACTTTGAATACAGAATACAACTGTACAGATCATGACAATCAGTAATTGATAGTATAGAAAATAAAAATAAAGAGAAGTTATTTTGAATGACAAAATGCACAAACAGACCCGAGTCCGAATAAACTCATTGTCTGAAAGAATTATTCATGTTTATTTATGTTGATTTCCTTTTCACGTCAAAAAGAAAAACCTTTCCGTTATAATAATTACAAACAAGCAGAATATTTTCTTTTTTGTCAAAATAAATTCCCCACGGCCTATCCAATCCATCTGATTTAGTAAGAAGTTCTCTGTGATGTTTACCATCATCTGATATAACTTCTACAGTGTTGGTGTTATAATAAGTCACATAGACATTCCTCTCATTATCTGTTGTCACATAAACTAAATCCTGAAATTTATCAATTTTAAACTTCCAAAGTAGTTCTCCATCTAACGAGCAGCAGTATATTGATGTAAAGTCTGTACAAACCAACCTGTCTCTGTCTACTGTAATGTCCCAGATACGGTCTGAAGGTAAAGGTATAGTACGTATTACTTTACCTGTCAGGTCAATCACATGTATTATACTCAGATCAATAACAACGTACAGGTTATTATCATTATATGATATTCCGTAGCAGTTACCACTGGTGTTGATTGTACTGGTGACAGAACGTGTAGATATATTTATTATCAGTATGGTTCTGTCATGTATACAGGATACTGCTACAGTATTAATATTTACCACTGTCATAAACCATGGTTGATAGGACAGAGGAATGTGATGGATATCAGTACCGTCTGAATTACAAATAATAAGTCGGTTATTCCTGTAGTAGGTAAACACTAATGTATTGTCTATTTTGATACAGCTAAATATGGTCGGATTTTCATTCTTAGACTTTTTTATATTTAACTGTTGACGCAAATTGACAGAAACAGGAAGGTTGGTTTTGACAGATGCTTGATCCTGAGCTTCTTCTTTGTTTGGTTCATTTTCTGAAAATAAATAATAATGAAGTATCGAGTTGGTTATTACAACAATTGTTTTTTTAATCTATAATGCAGTTTACCGCTAAAAGTGATTGAATGTTGTAACATATCTGATGTTTTGCACACTATATAAAACTCTGTAATATTGAATTTTTCAAGACCTCAAATTTTTTCACAGATGGTAACGATTTATTTCAGTTTTTTTTTCATTTTGAAGAACTCGAGCTTAGCATGATTCGACAACATCATAATCAAAGGAAAATTGAAAAACAGATAAGGGTAGAGCATAGTAATGTACTGGACATACCAATGCAGTGGGAGAAGATGTTTGTTTGACCTACTTATTTAAAATCATGTGCAAGATAATAAAAAAAATATGTATATGCTTCCTTTGTCCTAATCCCAGGGGAAGGGATTTCTTTACATACGTGCTGCTGGAATAGGTCCCTTTTATGTGTCTAATATATCAGTGGGTTGCAATTTCACTAAGGTACAATGTGAATGGGTCTGTTTTTTTTTATATTTCAATAGAATATCTGTATATATGTTTTAACCGCTTTAAAATCAAATAAAGATGTAGAAAAAATGCACTGATAACTAAGAAATATATGAACGGGTTATGAATTTGTCATGAAATATATTCATGGGTCTCGATTTTTACCAGACATCAATTTATGAAACCGGGGAAATGGGGGTGGGATTTGAAATACCAGCTGCGCTGCACGTCTGTACCCACAATACCATGTTGAGACACCCCCTCCCCCTTTTGTGGTCCTTATTACCTTGAACTTTATTAAGCATGTATTGTTTTTTTTTGTAAAGAAAACAAACATCCGAATTTAATGGGTCGAAATTAATAAAGTAGAAACACATCGACTGTGTTGGCTAGTACAGCGTTTTTTACAATTGAAATTTTAAATTGTCTCACTTTACAGTACCCTGCATTTTTAAGGTATTCTTTATTGTTCTCGTCTTGAAAATTAATGAATTATTTGCCACTGAATGTAAAGCAAACAACAATTAATCGCGTAATCTTTTAACTACCAGTCAGAAAACATGTCTCTGCGGATTGTGGGGGCCGATGTTTAGTTTCGTTCAAAATATTCTTCATGAATAAAACTTTTTATTTAATGGAGGGAAAATTAAAATCATAATTATGCACATCTAAGTAAACGATGTCTTTCGTTACTAAAATTCCTGGTATGGAGCAAGTTTTGCAAGGGAGCCTCCTACTAACCACGATAGAGAACTGGGTACAAATCTCTCCGTTTTAAGGAAAAGGTTTCTCAAGAAACATTTCGTAGTTCTGTGGGATGTATAAATACGCATCCACGTCAGATCAATATAAGGCGATGAATATGAATTAGGGTAATGACGGCTTTTCATTACAACTTTTATGGGGTTCCGTATTCCTTAGGCCGAATGTTTGACCCTATGTAACATGTCTTCGATTTTTTAGGCTGTCAAAATCCAAAATACCTCGTCCTTCATACCAGTCCAAGATTATTTAATTTGTTCCAAAATTGTGGTCTTTTTATTTAAACCACTCTATCGTTGTCGCCGATTGTAATGTTATTTGGTAACTCATAGATGAAATGCAATATAACAAGACTTTTAGATGAAAATGTTTTCTATTGGTTTATATGCAAATTTTGGTTAAACCATGAAATCAAATATCCTAAATCCACGAAAATTGGTACCCACGAAAATAAATAATCCACAGTATTCGTTATGACTTCACCCAAAGGGTGACTGAGGAATAGAAATATGGTCACCATTAGTCTTCCTCCGACCGGCAGTAAAACCCTCGTCAAAGTGGGGCTTTAGTTTAGCTGTGCGGGATGTATCAAGTACGCAGCCACGTCCGGTCGGAAAGGAGACATGAAATCCGATGTCTCGTGTAAAGAGAGTGCCAAGCTAAATTTCTGGCCCAATCCCATATACTCTCATTTTCCCGTGACAGTCCAAATTTTCCCGACCTTCATTCCGGACGGCCTATATTACAGGACCTCCCGACATTCATGCCAAATGGCCTCTATTACAGGACCTACATATTGCATTATTGCATTTATTATTAAATTGTCGCGAAACATGCATGAAATAATTGCCACTGGACATTAAGCAACCAACACGCAATCAATCAACTTTGCCTGAGAGAGTTGCAGTCCTTGTAATTTAGGTTAAAACATGTCTTATAAATCATCCCAATACCGAATCACCTCCTCCTCAGCTTGGGATTTACACAGTACTCTCTACAACACTGATATCAACTCAGTGCAGGTCTTTACAAATTACTTGTATCTGAAGTACTTATCTTTCTATCCGTTCATGTTAAAGCATATATCAAATGTACTGATAACTAAGAAATATATGTAGGATGTATAAATACGAATCTACGTCAGTTCATATGATGTCTTTTAAGGGAGCCCCCCAACTAACCACGATAGAGAAATCGGTTCAGATCTCTCCGTTGTGTCGCCTCAATGATTTTCACGAAGTTCTGTGGAATGCATAAATACGCATCCACGTCGGATCAGAATTGGGGACGTTGAATATGATGTAGGGCAATGACACGATTTCTACAGCTGAATATTAAAACGTTTTGAGGGTTACCTATCCGAAGAAAATTGTTGACTCTATGTAACATGTCTTTGTGTTCGGGGTTGTCATAATCCCAAATATCCTATCCTTCAGACCAGTCGAAGACTAATAAATCTGTTCTCAAATTGTGTTCTATGTGGTCTTTTTAATTAAACCAATCAATCGTTGTCGCCGACTGTAATGTTATTTGGTAACTCTTAGATGCAATGCAATATAACAAGACTTTGAGATGAAGATGTTTTCTATTGGTTTATATGCAAATTTTGGTTGAACCACGAAATCAAATATCCTCAATCCACGAAAGTAAATAATCCACGATAATTCGTTATGACTCCCCCCAAGAGTGTCCGGGGAATAGAAATATGGTCACCATTGGTCTTCCTCCGACCGGCAGTAAAACCTTCGCCTAAGTTGGGCGTCCGTTTGGCTGTGCGGGATGTATCAAATACGCAGCCACGTCCGGTCAGAATGGGGACGTTAAATCCGATGCCTGGTGTAAAGAGAGTGACACGCTCATTGCACGTCAAGAACCCATGCAGCAACTCTTTTAGCGGTCCGTAGGTGGCCTGTTGAAAGGCTAAATGTCTGCCCCTATCGAATATACCCTCACTTTTCCGTGGCAGTCCAAATTTACCCGACCTTCATCCCGGACGACCTCTATTACATGTACAGGACCTACCTATTGTATTTATTATTAATTTGTTCTCGTGAACATGCATGAAATATTTGCCACTGGACGTTCATAAATCAACAATCAATCATTATGACTCCATCTTAAATGTTCAGGATTAAATTTATTTGAGGTGCAAATTACATAAAAAATAAAAGGAATAACAGGACTTTCACTGTTATTGTCAGTTTTATTTGTGACCATTTAAACAAAAATAAGCTTTCCTGAATAATGATACTAGTATGTTTTATAGGTCTAAAGCAACACTGTTTAATCTGAACACATGTCTTTCTGTCTGTCTGAGGTCATGAAACTTGGCATGATTTCGTTGTTTTTGGTCAAATCTCATTGTATTTTTTTTGTTTCATTTGGGGACTTTGGTAAAGGTTGCTGATCCTTGAAAGTCTTTGTTGAAATGTTGAAATTTAGAGACTTTATTCAGTCTAATGTTGTGCTTCTGAAAGTGTAATTTGATGAAAGCCGTACGCGTATTATTACAAAGTAATATTTGTTTGTCTTCTGAAAGCCGTACGCGTAGTATTACCAAGTAATATTTGTTTGTCATTGGGTAGCTGTTTTATTGACAATTATTTAGAGATAATCAGAAAGTTAGCCACTATACCTAACTTATAATTTAATAAAAAGATGACGTGGTATGATTGCCAATGAGACAACTCTTCACAAGAGACCAAAAGACACAGGCATTAACAACTATAGGTCACCGTACGGCCTTCAACAATAAACAAAGCACATACTGCACAGTCAGCTATAAAAGGCCCCACAATGACAAATGTAAAACAATTCAAACAAGAAAACTAACGGCCTAATTAATGTACAAAAAAATGAACGAAGAGCAAATATGTAACACAGCAACAAACGACAACCACTGAATTACAGGCTCCTGACTTGGGACAGGCACATACATAGTGATCCCAACCCTCTCCCTTACCTTGTACAGTGGTGTAACAGTACAACATAAGAACGAACTATACAAATCAGTTGAAAAAGGCTTAACTCATCAGATGGATACAATTAGAAATTCATCTAACAAAAACACAGAGTGGACGTGGCCGGGTACTTGTACATCCCAACAACAAAAAGACACTAAGTACAGATCTGAGAGTACTCGCAGTTACTGACAGCTAGTTCAAAGCCAATAACAACTAATAAAAAAAGAAAGCATCAAAGACTAAATTATCAATTAGTACACATCCAACATCCAATGGATTTAGTGTAAAGACGTCATTAACAGTCAGAGAAAAATATAACCTTGTACAATGCCAAGATACAGGTTTTTTTGTGTCCAAAGTGGTCCAAAGTTGGGGTCTGACACCCTACCCACCATTACCTCAGAGTTAATAAAAAATTCCGTACGGCAATACTTTTGTTCGCACTAGGTCCAAAAGGGAAGCTGGGTAACTGAGTCCTACTTGAGAAAAAATCAAGGGTGTTGTTCGGCTTATATTTAAAAAAAGAAGTTGTGGTATGATTGCAAGAGACCAAATGACATAGAAATTAACATCTATAGGTCACCATTAGGCCTTCAACTATGAACAAAGCCCATACCGCAAAGTCAGCTATAAAAGGCTTCGAAATGACAAATGTTAAACAATTCAAACGAGAAAACTAACGGCCTAATTAATGTACAAAAAAATGAACGAGAAACAAATATGTAACAGCAAAACACGACAACCAATGATTTACAGGCTCTGGACTTGGGACAAGCACATACATACAGAATGTGGCGGGGTTAAACATGTTAGCGGGATCCCAACCCTCCCCCTAACCTCGGCCAGTGGTGTAACAGTACAACATAAGAACGAACTATAAAAATCAGTTGGAAAAGGCTTAATTTGTAAGATGGATACAAATGCATCTAAAAAAACAAAGAGTGAACGTGAACAAAAAACAACAAAATGACACTAAGAACAGATCTGAGAGTACTCGCAGTTACTAACAGCTAGTTCAAAGCCCATAACAACTAAAACAAATCATGCATCTAAGACTAAATTTAAGTCAGCTGCCTTCATTTGAACAAGAAACCCAAGGGTGACTGGGGAATAGAGAAATGTCCACTAAGATCTTCTACCTACAGGCAGTAAAACCCTCGCCAAAGTTTGGCGTGATGTTGGCTTTGTGGGATGTGCAAGAGGACGTTTAAGCCGATGCCTCATGTTGAGAGACTGCCATGCTCTCTGCACGGTAAGACACCTTGCAAGCAATCTGCGTGATGTTGGCTTTGTGGGATGTACAAGAGGACGTTTAATCCGATGCCTCATGTAGAGAGACTGCCATGCTCTCTGCACGGTAAGACACATTGCAAGCAATCTTTAAAGGGTCCGAAGGTGGCCTGCTGTAAGTCGAATTTTCTGTCCGTTCTAATATACACTCATTTCCCAGTGTCAGTCAAAATTCGTCCGGCCTGCGTCACAAACGACCTCTATTACATAACTTACCTATTGTATTTATTGTAAATTAATCAATTTTATACGAGGGATTTGGAACCTTTGGAATTTTAGAAAAAAATGTCTTATAAATCATCTCGACACCGAAATACTGCCTACTGAGAATGGGAAGTACTCAGTTTTCCCTGCAATACTGTTATCAACACAGTGCAGGTAAATACAAACAACACTTTACAATTGATCGTGTTTGAAGTGCTTATCTTGATTGGAATTCTTAAGGAGCTCGCAAACCGTAACATGTTGTCTGGTTTTGGGCTTACTTTTGATTCCAATTAGTTTTGTCAACTTTCCAACGCAAAATATTTTACCCTATATCTTAGGAAAAAACCCGAGGAGTCTCGTTCTTTGTATTTCCCCCTGTATAAAGAGGAATATTTTAAAGACAGGACTTTTAGAGTTATACCGTCATTAATATATGTTCTAGAAAAATGAAACCGGTTAAAAGATAAAAATATGTAAACAATGATATTACTTGGATTATGGTCTTCCTGCTTAGTGCTTATTTTCGCTCTGTGAGGAATCGTTTTACCCTGCAAACAAAAAAGATGATTTTATTAAATAAACTAGAGGCTCTCAAGAGCCTGTGTCGCTCACCTGATTCTACATTAGTTTTGGAAATCATGTAAAAATAGATTAAAATCATAACAGATACCCTAATAATGAGTGAGGCCAAATTTGGTTTAATATTGGTCCTGTAATTTAATAAAAATCCTGGTGGCCATCTTGAACAGTAAATCGGCAACAAAGTAGCAACACTTAATCAGCACTTCATAAGAAACATTTATGCCATGTTTTGGTTTCATTCCATTCATTGCACCTCTAGAAGAAGCATTTGTATGTATTTCCCATAAGGTCTTATGTTAAAGGAAGTCCCCCCATTGGCGGCCATCATGGATGAAGGATCAGCTTCAAAGTAACAAAACTTAGTCAGCACCTCATTAGGAACATTCATGCCTTGTTTGGTTTCAATCCATTCAGTATGTTGTGTTCTAAAAGAAGACATGTGTATGTATTGTCCATAGGGTCCTTTGTTAAACATTGTCCCCATCTGGCAGCCATCATGGATGAAGGATCAGCTTCAAAGTAACAACACTTGGTCAGCACCTCAAAAGGAACATGCATGCCATGTTTGGTTTCATTCCATTCAATGGTTCTCTAAAAGAAAACATTTGTACGTATTTCTCATAGGGTCCTATGTTAAACTAAGTCCTCGGCTGGCGGCCATCTTAGATTATGGATCGGCTTCATAGTAAAAACACTTGGTCAGCACCTCATAAGGAACATTCATGCCATGTTTGGTTTCATTGCATTCAGTGGTTCTCTAAAAGAAGACATTTGTATGTATTTCCCATAGGGTCCTATGTTAAACTAAGTCCCCCGCTGGCTGCAATCTTGGATGATGGATCAGCTTCAAAGTAACAACACTTGGTCAGCACCTCATAAGGAACATTCTTGCCATGTTTGGTTTCATTCCATTCAGTGGTTCTCTAAAAGAAGACTTTTGTATGTATTTCCCATAGGGTCCCATGTTAAACTAAGTTCCCCGCTGGCGGCCATTTTGGATTATGGATCGGCTTCAAAGTAACAACACTTGGTCAGCACCTCATAAGGAACATTCATGCCATGTTTGCTTTCATTCCATTCAGTGGTTCTCTAAAAGAAGACATTTGTATGTATTTCTCATAAGGTCCCATGTTAAACTAAGTCCCCTGCAGGCGGCCATCTTGGATTATGGATCGGCTTCAAAGTAACAACACTCGGTCAGCACCTTATAAGAAACATTAATGCCATGTTTGGTTTCATTCCATTTAGTGGTTCTCTAATAGAAGACATTTGTATGTATTTCCCATAGGGTCCCATGTTAAACTAAGTCCCCCGCTGGCGGCCATCTTGGATTATGGATCGGCTTCAAAGTAACAACACTCGGTCAGCACCTAATAAGGAACATTCATACTATGTTTGGTTTCATTCCATTCAGTGGTTCTCTAAAAAAAGACATTTGTATGTATTTCCCATAGAGTCCTATGTGAAACTAAGTCCCCCGCTGGCGGCCATCTTGGATTATGGATCGGCTTCAAAGTAACAACACTCGGTCAGCACCTCATAAGAAACATTCATGCCATGTTTGGTTTTATTCCATTCAGTGGTTCTCTAAAAGAAGACATTTGTATGTATCTCCCATAGGGTCCTATGTTAAACTAAGTCCCCCGCTGGCGGCCATCTTGGATGATGGATCCTCTACAAAGTAACAACACTTGGTCAGCACCTCATAAGGAACATTCATGCCATGTTTGGTTTCACTCCATTCAGTGGTTCTCTAGAAGAAGTTCCCCCCAAGGGTGACTGGGGAATAGAAGTATGGTCACCATTGGTCTTCCTCCGACCGGCAGTAAAACCCGTGCTAAAGTGGGGCGTCCGTTTGGCTGTGCGGGATGTACAAATTTGCAGCCACGTCCGGTCAGAATGGGGACGTTAAATCCGATGCCTCGTGTAAAGAGAGTGCCACGCTCTTTGCACGTTAAGAACCCTTGCAACAACTCTTTGAGGGGTCCGTAGGTGACCTGTTGGAAGGCTAAATTTCTGTCCCTATCCAATATACCCTCATTTCCCGTGGCAGTCTAAATTTCTCCGACCTTAACCCCTTAATCTATTACAGAACCTACCTATTGTATTTATTGTGAACTTGTTCTCGTCCTGAATATGCATGAAATATTTGCCACTGGACGTTAAGCAACCAACAATCAATCAATCAATCTAGAAGAAGTTCAAAATGTAAAAAGTTAACGCCGACGACGGATGACGCTGGACGACGCCGGACGACGGACGCCAAGTGATGAGAAAAGCTCACTTGGCCCTTTGGGCCAGGTGAGCTAAAAACAACAAATAATAATGTAGCTTAACTATACATAATGTTATACTGAACATAAAACACGTATTATAATTGAAGAACGAAGCAAATTGGGAGGATTAAACAAAATATCACCTGTAAAATATTGTTAAAGATCTACATATAAACTTGTTGCAGTACTTGCATCCTCAAGAGTTACTGTTTTAGTGATCAGTCAGTAGTCATCAATCCGTCACCACTCAGTCAACTTCATATCTTCAATTCGTCAAACTTATAATGAAAAGACTGATTGATTGGTATTAACAGAATGAGCACTATTTATTACTACCACTAGATAGATACGTCTGCTGGGGGGACTTTTGGCCTAGATGAAGTCATTAGCCCAGTAGCCAGTACTTTGGTTCTTGCATGAAAATACGAGTAATGTTTTAATTTAAAATGCTGTTATAAAATTTCGAAATGATTTTAAATCAAGGAATATATCTCCCTAGTGCATAGCCCTGATTCCCTGTCCTGGTTTGGCTTCACTATTTGTCTGTTTGGTTTAATCACCTTATGAACGTTTGTATACGGTTTTAGATTTTAAATTGTTTGGCGAAATGCGCACCTAGTGCAGTACAATTTGTACCGTTCATTTTTAACGTTGTAATTACTACCGGATCAATACTTCTGCTTGAGGACCGTTCGTCCCCGAGAGTATCATTTGCCCTGTACTGGCATAGAAATACGGATATTGTTTTATTGAAATTATAATCAAACAATTTCAAAATCATTTTAAATTAAGGAATGTACTGTTCTCATGTATAGCTTTTTGTCCGAGTTTGGATGTACATTCGGGCCTTTTTGGTTTTATCAGCTATTCAGCGTTTGTATTCAGTTGTTATACGCCCGTTGTCTGTCCGTCCGTCGTCAACATGTCGGACAATAACTCAAAAATGCTTTAACCAACTTGCCCGAAACTTTGGTGAATTGTTTATATCTATTGACGTCAACTTCCTATCGATTACAAATTTATTAGATTTTACGTTTCCGGGTTATGTTATGTTATTCATACAAAAGGGTTTTTTTTTCGGACAATAACTCAAAAGTGCTTTGCGCAGATTTCATGAAATTTTGGTGATAGGTTTATATCTTTTAGAATAACCTCCCTTTAGTTTGTTTTATACATTTCTGATATGACATTGAGATGTTATTGAACTTTATTCTTTGAAAAAAGCTCATGGCGCAACTGTTAATTGATTTTTGATTGAGCATCACTGTAGATACATTTAACGTCGAACTCGTAATCTGGTATAGTAAAATTGGTACCGTGTATGTTTACTTTGTTACTACCACTGGATTGATAGGTCTACTGAAAGACTTTTAGTCCTCGAGGATATCATAAATCCATTCAATTAGCCAGTACTTCAGACTGATCTGTCTTTATGTATTACTTTCACTGGCTCGATACATATTCTTGGTGACTTTTTGGCCACATCTGATAGATTTTAAATCCTCGAGGATATCATTAGCTCAATAGCCAATACTTCGGTACTTAAATGAATTGACGGATATTATTTTATTTGAATGGCTGTTTAAGAATTTTGGAATCATTTTAAATGAATCAGTTAACATGTATCTGCCTTGTCGGGGTTTAACTTTACTTATCGTCCTTTTAAGTTTTACCTGCTCTTCTATGTTTGTATTATGTTTTGCATTTTATGATTTTGGCCTCGTGCCAAAGAGAGGTGAAAAATAAAATTAAAGTTTAATGATACCGTTACTAATACGTCATGGTTGACCTTTCGCATATGACAAGATACATATATAGTACCAGAGATTATTAACATGCGGTTCATTACGCTACCATTGCAACCCTCATTTTAAAATCTTTTCGAATTTGTGTCGATGAATCTATAAAAGAGACGTAAATATGCATTCACTACAAAGTCATCAGATCCAACTGACCAATTTGTATCTGAATGCGTAAGAATTTTGTGTTTTTCTGAAAAGTATGATGAATGTTTGACTTTGTCTCAACATATTCATAACATCATGATTTCTTCTTAATGAACTCTACATTCTAGATGTCTCAACATCTTCTTTACATTCTGAATGTGTCTACATATGTCTTAAACTGTGTTTACGCTAATAAATTACTTTAGAATATTTCTTCGTTTGGCATCTACGTTATTGATCGCACTATCAACTTACGAAAAAAAGTTTGTTTGTTTTCTTTTGGTTGAGTTTTTATCAAAAACAAACTAATTTGTCTAAATAGCATACTTTATAATAGCATACACGAATTTTTTGTAACTGAACGCTGTATTTACAATTGATTTGTTTCGGTTTTAGAGTCAAACATTTCTAAATTCATTATTTACGTTTCCGTTCAATCCCCCCCTCCCCCACCCCCCAAAAAAATAGAAGGCATTGTACACTAGCTAGATATTCCTTGATTTTGGATTGATGAAGAGATAAGGTACAATTTGGTATATATATTAAAAAAAAATTGTTAATCCGAGGATATTTCAGAGTAACGGTCGTCAATCTTCGGAATTGTTCAAGCCTTACTCTGGAATTAAATTTTGTATTATCGCATGTTTTAAGGTCTTGAACTAGTCAATGCTACTGAATAATGTGTTTCAGAATTTGTGACGTCATTAACTTGTTTGATTGAAGGTTTTGTTAGGGACGACTAGTGTACATTTCTTAATAAATTTCCAGTGTGTGAATATATTTATTTTTATCATTTTTTTAGCACTAAGGCCAAAAACTTTCATTTTACTTGGTTAATTTATTTTGAGTATTTTTTTAATGCCAATGTTTTTGCCCCGTTGTTTCCTATAAGGTGAGGTTCAAAAATGTATTGACCATTCAAGTATTGAATTTCATATGGAGATTCCGCGATATTTGTGTTTGTGTTTGTTTATTAAATATGAAACTCTTTTTATCGATCTTGGTTATCTATTATATGAACGAATACATTGCTTGACACAGTCGTCACCTCTTGTCCTGTCACCTCTGGCCATTTCTAGGTTTCTGACACGTCTCATTTGTTGTATTGTGTTGGTTCTCAGGATTGTCAGTATGTTGTCTGCAGAAAGCATAGGCCGAATCCTTTCTACTAGTAATGTAAACGGTTGAGATACCGGGGTGTAAGACACATATTAAAGGAATATCCGTTTACATGTAAAAACCCGTTTACGTTGCAATACTCAGTATGTTAATATTGTTAAGGTAACTATCAGAGTTATGATTATACATGTTTTTGTAAGTTATGAATAAACTCATCATCGATATTAGGATGTAAATTTGCATTTGCGCCTGACGCGCGTTTCGTCTACAAAAGACTCATCAGTGACGCTCGTATCAAAAAAAGTTAAAAAGTCCAAAAAAAGTACGAAGTTGAAGAGCATTGAGGACCAAAAATTCCTAAAAGTTTTGCCAAATACAGCTAAGGTAATCTATTCCTGAGGTAGAAAAGCCTTAGTATTTCAAAAAATCAAAGTTTTATGAACAGTTAATTTATAATTATGACCATATCAATGATAATTCATGTCAACACAGAAGTGCTGACTACTGGGCTGGTGATACCCTCGGGGAATAAAAACTCCAACAGCAGTGGCATCGACTCAGTGGTTGTACATAAACTCATCATAAAAACCAGGAAGTAAATTTGTATTTGCGCCAAACGCGCGTTTCGTCTACAAAAGACTTATCAGTGACGCTCGAATAAAAAAAAAGTTAAAAAGGTCAAATAAAGTACGAAGTTGAAGAGCATTGAGGACCAAAAATTCCTAAAAGTTTTGCCAAATACAGCTATGGTAATCTATTCCTGTGGTAGAAAAGCCTTAGTTTTTCAAAAAATCAAAGTTATATGAACAGTTAATTTATAATAATGACCAGATCAATGATTATTCATGTCAACACAGAAGTGCTGACTACTGATCTGGTGATATCCTTGGGGAATAAAAACTCCACCATCAGTGGCATCGACCCAGTGGTTGTAAATAAACTCATCATAGATACCAGGATGTAAATTTGTATTTGCATCCCGTTTTGTTTTTCATATGTTGTATGAACAGAGTGTGGTGAAATTTATGCCTCCGAGCGGTTTGAATACTTTTAGAGAAGAATCTGATGGCAAATTATTCACGAAATCAAAGTACAAAATCAATATAATTTATTCAAATGGTTATTTACTAATATTAAACAAATAAATCACCACAGCTGAAAAAATACAAATTGAAACTTTAACCTGTGCGTCAGTGAATTTTGCCTATCCCGGTATTGAATATTAGCTAAAAATACCAGTAACAACAATTTAGGCTAATTACATATTCATGAACTCTAAAATAACATTGAATATAAAACCTAGATTCCGTTTATTCTCAATTGCGAACTTCATCGATTTATGAAAGAATATAGGAAATAATTATTTACATGTACTATTAATACTTAACCTTATTCTAATTCTTCTGTATAGAATTTAAACAAATTTTCAAACAGGCGAGGAGCTCAAAGTTTTACGTCTGAACTCTGGTCAATCGAAACTTTGCTTCCCGTTTTGTTTCTCATATGTTGATTGACAACGTATATCACGCCCCATTTTCCGCCATGCAAATCATTTCGCGATTATTAGTTATTATATAATGACATTTTACTCCCAATGTAATGAGACAACTCTTCACAAGAGACCAAATGACACAGAAATTAACAACCATAGGCCACCGTACGGCTTTCAACAATGAGCAAAGCCCATACCGCATAGTCAGCTATAAAAGGCCCCGGAATGACAAAATGTAAAACAATTCAAACGAGAAAATTAATGGCCTAATTTATTTACAAAAAAAATGAACGAAAAACAAATATGTAACACAACAACAAACGACAACCACTGAATTACAGGCTCCTGACTTGGGACAGGCACATACATACAGAATGTGGCGGGGTTAAACATGTTAGACTGTTTACAATGCACTTGGACAATATCAGACTGAGTAAAGTCTGTTCACAATGAGCCCAGACAATATTAGACTGAGTAAATACTGTTGAGGAATCTAAATGATAATTTGACAATTTGTAAAGATGCCGTTTTAAAAATCATACCTCATTATTCATCCAGGGCGAATATATCTGCTCAGATCGATGCATTTGCTTATGCTGAATACAGAAACACTCCTTCTCAATTGTCAATTTCTCATATTCAAATGTGTCTTTAAAATAATAGCCATCACTGCATTTGAAATGGAGTTTAAACGATATTTTCACCTTATATCTCTCTTTTATATTTGTAATTAGTTGTGTTACTCCACTGAAGATATCGCTACACGTGCTTCTCAATCCCTCATGTTGTTCGGAAAACGACACGACCTGGAGAGCAATGGTATCAGACGACATGGTAACCATAATCTTTTTACCGCCAGATGCCTCAATGTCAAACATACAGATTCCTCGATATAATGCAATACCACTATCTAATTTGCTAGGGTTGTATTTTCTGATAAACCAGGCAGATAGATGGTTAAAGAAAGAAGGTGGAAGAAATTCAAATTTAAAACAAAGCCAGGAAGTCCTTTTGCATTTATTTGTAAGAATGCCAATTTTTTCACATACAGCATCAAACGTGGAAGGCGGCATCATGCTTGGCATTATATAATAACTCGAGTTCTCAATTTTGACCAATATGTCAAGTTTTTCCATAACTTTAAGTAAATTATTTTTTCTGTCCTGATAACTGACATCCATCTTTTGAATTGAAGAGTTCTGTTATTAGTGATTCACTCATTTTGCCTTGTCGTGTAAAAAGTGTCCAGTCCTTAAGGTGATGCAATCTCCTGTAATCAACTTTATCTGAGACTAAACATCGGAAAGCATCTGCTAACCACTGAGGTCTTAATATGATCAAATCCTGTATATTTTCAAAAAAAATAATGTTCCCTACGTTATGCTGAAATCGAAGAAACAACAACAATTCCTCCTTTTCTAGTATATTGATATCAGGATGTTTAGCCAGATTTGACATGTCAGGAAAATTGATAAAATTTTTTCCATTGATCTTATTAATTTCAATCAAATGTTCTAAAAGAATCCATTTTAATGGAAAAGCATTACCCCAATTATCCATTTTACGTGCAGTCTCATAAATTGCGTATTGCAACTTCTCAAAATCTTCGTTACTATCTTTAGTATTTGACAGATAAAACTTGTTGTACAAGTGGTGATATTTGCTTTGAAATCCAAAAACATGGTCTATTTGATTATTAAGTTCCTTTTCTCTCTTCTTAAATTCAGCCTACAGAAAATAAATAAAAGAATCAGCAATTGTCATGTTTGATACTTTAACCGACATAAGTGAGAAATATAAATAGTTTATGAACCTCCAATATATAACATCTTTATTCAAACGTATCATTACATCTTACGACAATTATAAATACAATTTAAGCGTCCTCTATAGGAAACTATACCATATGATTGTCTGTCATTGTTTAAGATTTTACATCACTGGGTCGATACCTCTGCTGGTGGACTATCAGTACCCGAGGGTATCATCAGCTCAGTAGTCAGTACTTCGGTACTGACATGATTTATAACAAACTTTACTAAAATTGCCCGTTTATAAATTTTGAAATTATAAAGAAACTAAGGTTTCAACTCCCTCAGACAAAGTTGACCTTAGATGGATTTGGCTATTTGTTTTAGGTATTTTTGTCATATAGCTCTTCAACTGTTTCGGTACTTATACATCCCTCGGATTTCAAATGTTTGGCTTTGAGCGTTCCTGATGAAGGTAAATCCAGAAAAGCGCTTCGGACGCATGAAATTATTAAACGTGTTTTCAATTTTTTACATCACTGGGTCGATACCTCTGCTGGTGGACTATCAGTCCCCGAGGGTATCATCAGCTCAGTAGTCAGAACTTCGGTACTGACATGATTTATAACAAACTTTTCTAAAATTGCCCGTTTATAAATTTTGAAATTATAAAGAAACTAAGGTTTCAACTCCCTCAGACAAAGTTGACCTTAGATGTATTTGGCTATTTGTTTTAGGTATTTTTGTCATATAGCTCTTCAACTGTTTCGGTACTTATACATCCCTCGGATTTCAAATGTTTGGCTTTGAGCGTTCCTGATGAAGGTAAATCCAGAAAAGCGCTTCGGACGCATGAAATTATTAAACATGTTGTTTTAAATTTTTTACATCACTGGGTCGATACCTCTGCTGGTGGACTATCAGTCCCCGAGGGTATCATCAGCTAAGTAGTCAGTACTTCGGTACTGACATGATTTATAACAAACTTTTCTAAAATTGCCCGTTTATAAATTTTGAAATTATAAAGAAACTAAGGTTTCAACTCCCTCAGACAAAGTTGACCTTAGATGGATTTGGCTATTTGTTTTAGGTATTTTTGTCATATAGCTCTTCAACTGTTTCGGTACTTATACATCCCTCGGATTTCAAATGTTAAGCCTTGAGCGTTCCTGATGAAGGTAAATCCAGAAAAACGCTTCGGACGCATGAAATTATTAAACGTGTAGTTTTCAATTTTTTACATCACTGGGTCGATACCTCTGCTGGTGGACAATCAGTCCCCGAGGGTATCATCAGCTCAGTAGTCAGTACTTCGGTACTGACATGATTTATAACAAACTTTTCTAAAATTGCCCGTTTATAAATTTTGAAATTATAAAAAAACTAAGGTTTCAACTCCCTCAGACAAAGTTGACCTTAGATGGATTTGGCTATTTGTTTTAGGTATTTTTGTCATATAGATCCTAACTGTTTCGGTACTTATACATCCCTCGGATTTCAAATGTTTAGCTTTGAGCGTTCCTGATGAAGGTAAATCCAGAAAAGCGCTTCGGACGCATGAAATTATTAAACGTGTTTTCAATTTTTTACATCACTGGGTCGATACCTCTGCTGGTGGACTATCAGTCCCCGAGGGTATCATCAGCTCAGTAGTCAGAACTTCGGTACTGACATGATTTATAACAAACTTTTCTAAAATTGCCCGTTTATAAATTTTGAAATTATAAAGAAACTAAGGTTTCAACTCCCTCAGACAAAGTTGACCTTAGATGTATTTGGCTATTTGTTTTAGGTATTTTTGTCATATAGCTCTTCAACTGTTTCGGTACTTATACATCCCTCGGATTTCAAATGTTTGGCTTTGAGCGTTCCTGATGAAGGTAAATCCAGAAAAGCGCTTCGGACGCATGAAATTATTAAACATGTTGTTTTAAATTTTTTACATCACTGGGTCGATACCTCTGCTGGTGGACTATCAGTCCCCGAGGGTATCATCAGCTAAGTAGTCAGTACTTCGGTACTGACATGATTTATAACAAACTTTTCTAAAATTGCCCGTTTATAAATTTTGAAATTATAAAGAAACTAAGGTTTCAACTCCCTCAGACAAAGTTGACCTTAGATGGATTTGGCTATTTGTTTTAGGTATTTTTGTCATATAGCTCTTCAACTGTTTCGGTACTTATACATCCCTCGGATTTCAAATGTTAAGCCTTGAGCGTTCCTGATGAAGGTAAATCCAGAAAAACGCTTCGGACGCATGAAATTATTAAACGTGTAGTTTTCAATTTTTTACATCACTGGGTCGATACCTCTGCTGGTGGACAATCAGTCCCCGAGGGTATCATCAGCTCAGTAGTCAGTACTTCGGTACTGACATGATTTATAACAAACTTTTCTAAAATTGCCCGTTTATAAATTTTGAAATTATAAAAAAACTAAGGTTTCAACTCCCTCAGACAAAGTTGACCTTAGATGGATTTGGCTATTTGTTTTAGGTATTTTTGTCATATAGATCCTAACTGTTTCGGTACTTATACATCCCTCGGATTTCAAATGTTTAGCTTTGAGCGTTCCTGATGAAGGTAAATCCAGAAAAGCGCTTCGGACGCATGGAATTATTAAACGTGTTTTCAATTTTTTATATCACTGGGTCGATACCTCTGCTGGTGGACTATCAGTCCCCGAGGGTATCATCAGCTAAGTAGTCAGTACTTCGGTACTGACATGATTTATAACAAACTTTTCTAAAATTGCCCGTTTATAAATTTTGAAATTATAAAAAAACTAAGGTTTCAACTCCCTCAGACAAAGTTGACCTAAGATGGATTTGGCTATTTGTTTTAGGTAGTTTTGTCATATAGCTCTTCAACTGTATCGGTACTTATACATACCTCGGATTTCAAATGTTTGGCTTTGAGCGTTCCTGATGAAGGTAAATCCAGAAAAGCGCTTCGGACGCATGAAATTATTAAACATGTTGTTTTAAATTTTTTACATCACTGGGTCGATACCTCTGCTGGTGGACTATCAGTCCACCAGGGTATCATCAGCTAAGTAGTCAGTACTTCGGTACTGACATGATTTATAACAAACTTTTCTAAAATTGCCCGTTTATAAATTTAGAAATTATAAAGAAACTAAGGTTTCAACTCCCTCAGGCAAAGTTGACCTTAAATGGATTTGGCTATTTGTTTTAGGTATTTTTGTCATATAGCTCTTCAACTGTTTCGGTACTTATACATCCCTTGGATTTCAAATGTTTAGCCTTGAGCGTTCCTGATGAAGGTAAATCCAGAAAAACGCTTCGGACGCATGAAATTATTAAACGTGTAGTTTTCAATTTTTTACATCACTGGGTCGATACCTCTGCTGGTGGACAATCAGTCCCCGAGGGTATCATCAGCTCAGTAGTCAGTACTTCGGTACTGACATGATTTATAACAAACTTTTCTAAAATTGCCCGTTTATAAATTTTGAAATTATAAAAAAACTAAGGTTTCAACTCCCTCAGACAAAGTTGACCTTAGATGGATTTGGCTATTTGTTTTAGGTATTTTTGTCATATAGATCCTAACTGTTTCGGTACTTATACATCCCTCGGATTTCAAATGTTTGGCTTTGAGCGTTCCTGATGAAGGTAAATCCAGAAAAGCGCTTCGGACGCATGAAATTATTAAACATGTTGTTTTAAATTTTTTACATCACTGGGTCGATACCTCTGCTGGTGGACTATCAGTCCCCGAGGGTATCATCAGCTAAGTAGTCAGTACTTCGGTACTGACATGATTTATAACAAACTTTTCTAAAATTGCCCGTTTATAAATTTTGAAATTATATAGAAACTAAGGTTTCAACTCCCTCAGACAAAGTTGACCTTAGATGGATTTGGCTATTTGTTTTAGATATTTTTGTCGTATAGCTCTTCAACTGTTTCGGTACTTATACATCCCTCGGATTTCAAATGTTTAGCCTTGAGCGTTCCTGATGAAGGTAAATCCAGAAAAACGCTTCGGACGCATGAAATTATTAAACGTGTAGTTTTCAATTTTTTACATCACTGGGTCGATACCTCTGCTGGTGGAAAATCAGTCCCCGAGGGTATTATCAGCTCAGTAGTCAGTACTTCGGTACTGACATGATTTATAACAAACTTTTCTAAAATTGCCCGTTTATAAATTTTGAAATTATAAAAAAACTAAGGTTTCAACTCCCTCAGACAAAGTTGACCTTAGATGGATTTGGCTATTTGTTTTAGGTATTTTTGTCATATAGATCCTAACTGTTTCGGTACTTATACATCCCTCGGATTTCAAATGTTTAGCTTTGAGCGTTCCTGATGAAGGTAAATCCAGAAAAGCGCTTCGGACGCATGAAATTATTAAACGTGTTTTCAATTTTTTACATCACTGGGTCGATACCTCTGCTGGTGGACTATCAGTCCCCGAGGGTATCATCAGCTCAGTAGTCAGAACTTCGGTACTGACATGATTTATAACAAACTTTTCTAAAATTGCCCGTTTATAAATTTTGAAATTATAAAGAAACTAAGGTTTCAACTCCCTCAGACAAAGTTGACCTTAGAAGTATTTGGCTATTTGTTTTAGGTATTTTTGTCATATAGCTCTTCAACTGTTTCGGTACTTATACATCCCTCGGATTTCAAATGTTTGGCTTTGAGCGTTCCTGATGAAGGTAAATCCAGAAAAGCGCTTCGGACGCATGAAATTATTAAACATGTTGTTTTAAATTTTTTACATCACTGGGTCGATACCTCTGCTGGTGGACTATCAGTCCCCGAGGGTATCATCAGCTAAGTAGTCAGTACTTCGGTACTGACATGATTTATAACAAACTTTTCTAAAATTGCCCGTTTATAAATTTTGAAATTATAAAGAAACTAAGGTTTCAACTCCCTCAGACAAAGTTGACCTTAGATGGATTTGGCTATTTGTTTTAGGTATTTTTGTCATATAGCTCTTCAACTGTTTCGGTACTTATACATCCCTCGGATTTCAAATGTTTAGCCTTGAGCGTTCCTGATGAAGGTAAATCCAGAAAAACGCTTCGGACGCATGAAATTATTTAACGTGTAGTTTTCAATTTTTTACATCACTGGGTCGATACCTCTGCTGGTGGACAATCAGTCCCCGAGGGTATCATCAGCTCAGTAGTCAGTACTTCGGTACTGACATGATTTATAACAAACTTTTCTAAAATTGCCCGTTTATAAATTTTGAAATTATAAAAAAACTAAGGTTTCAACTCCCTCAGACAAAGTTGACCTTAGATGGATTTGGCTATTTGTTTTAGGTATTTTTGTCATATAGATCCTAACTGTTTCGGTACTTATACATCCCTCGGATTTCAAATGTTTAGCTTTGAGCGTTCCTGATGAAGGTAAATCCAGAAAAGCGCTTCGGACGCATGAAATTATTAAACGTGTTTTCAATTTTTTACATCACTGGGTCGATACCTCTGCTGGTGGACTATCAGTCCCAGAGGGTATCATCAGCTAAGTAGTCAGTACTTCGGTACTGACATGATTTATAACAAACTTTTCTAAAATTGCCTGTTTATAAATTTAGAAATTATAAAGAAACTAAGGTTTCAACTCCCTCAGACAAAGTTGACCTAAGATGGATTTGGCTATTTGTTTTAGGTAGTTTTGTCATATAGCTCTTCAACTGTATCGGTACTTATACATCCCTCGGATTTCAAATGTTTGGCTTTGAGCGTTCCTGATGAAGGTAAATCCAGAAAAGCGCTTCGGACGCATGAAATTATTAAACATGTTGTTTTAAATTTTTTACATCACTGGGTCGATACCTCTGCTGGTGGACTATCAGTCCACCAGGGTATCATCAGCTAAGTAGTCAGTACTTCGGTACTGACATGATTTATAACAAACTTTTCTAAAATTGCCCGTTTATAAATTTAGAAATTATAAAGAAACTAAGGTTTCAACTCCCTCAGGCAAAGTTGACCTTAAATGGATTTGGCTATTTGTTTTAGGTATTTTTGTCATATAGCTCTTCAACTGTTTCGGTACTTATACATCCCTCGGATTTCAAATGATTGGCTTTGAGCGTTCCTGATGAAGGTAAATCCAGAAAAGCGCTTCGGACGCATGAAATTATTAAACGTGTTGTTTTCAATTTTTAAAGGCCGTATTGTGATTTGTTGTTACATTTTTAGTTGCTTGGTCTTTATGGATAGTTATATCATTGCTCGTCATACCACGTCCCCTTATGACAACCTCTAGAGTTTACTAAGTATAAAGTAAAGTAAGCCTTTAGTACTCCTTCGAATGATAGTAAATCCATTGTCAAATCGGAGCGTTCGTTTGACTGTGCATGTTGTTTAAACTCGGTTGTAGTCAGATTGGGGAAATAAAATCCGATCTTTCGTTTAGAGATGGTTCAACGCTCCATGCACATTAGGAATAAATTCATCATAGATACCAGGATTGAAATTTTGTATTTGCGCTGGGAACCATCACAACAATCTTTGAAGGACCCGTACGCTGGCCTGTTGCCTGGCTCAATTTCTGTTCCTTATGACCGAGTGGCTTTCAAAGTTCATACGACCATCTTACCGGTTGACTCCCTACTGCATGACCACACTATTGTATTTGTTTTCGTCATGAACAAGCATCTAATATTGATTTGATCATTTGAATTGTTAAACGTTCTGTTATATCGGGGCCTTTTGTAGCTGAACATATATGGTATGGGATTTGTTTAATTGTTGAATGCAGTGCGTTGACTAATATATTTGCTTTATAATTAGGAATTTGTTGGATAGTGGTCTCACTGGAAATAATCCCACATCTTATTTCTATGATGACGTTCTGATCATGAACGGACGATAATAGGTCAAATCTTATACAGACATCAAATTAGAAGTCAGGAACAACATTTTTCAAATTTATTACCTTGTTATACTTATCCTTTCCTGTGAAAACTAATAAAATCGGAGGATTGAAGTGCCCATTACTAGCTGGTTTGCTGGTCGTTCGGTGACAATGGATAGAATCAAACCAAAAATCAACATACTCTGAAATGTATCATCATTGTTGAAAAGGTATTGTTTAGATGCTGACTATGATCATTTTGATATACATGTATTCAAAACAGGAAAAATATCAAAAACCATGATTTATCTTTAACATGTTTAACACAAATTGAAACTGTATATTTTACTAAAGGAACGATTTTGCCGATTTTGTAATAGAATATATATATATATTATTTTTTTTTTCAGATTTATTCTTAGTTCTCTCCAGGTTTAAGAAAGATTGTGTTTTGGGGATTATCGTCGAATAGGGAAAAGTTAACACATGTGTAGTGTCGACTCCAGCATTTAAATGATTTTGTCAATTGCAATTAAAACATTTGCTTTAATGTCATTTTTACTGAGATTTGGTTTGATTAGCAAACAAAACTTGATAGGAAAAGGGCGCACATTGCAGAAAATAGATCTGCCTCATCTTTAACACAAGAGTACGATTATTTTTTTGAACAGTCGTAAAATACATTGGAAGTAAAATGTCATTTTTTAATAACTAATAGGTGAATTGACAAATTTTTAATCTTGAACGGAACTTACAGGGATTCTTTAAAATGTCTAATTATTGTAGTTCGGTATATTTGCTATTCTACTTTTCGCTTAACTTAATTCATGCATAAACACTCCTATAGCTTCTTGACAGCAGTTGTTTGGTTTGAAATAAGACGGGTAAACATATATTGTTTTTATTTCAGCAAAAATGTCCGAATGCATTCGTAATACTAGTGATGAATAACTTTTGACAATTTGAAAATTCGAGAGAGAGAAAATTTAGTTTCTAATGCAGTATATATTTGTTTTTATACACGAACATGTTTCTCATTGAACAAGATGTGAATTCTTCCTGTATTGTAAACTTGATTCCACCCAACTTGTTATCTTCACTTTTGGTTCGATGCTAACATATCTTATTGGTATATTGCTTGTTGAGGTTTTTTTATTACGGAAAATGAAATTGCTATATCAAAGTATGTTATTTTAATCTGTATCTTGGTAGGAAGCCAACAAAACATATAAACATATAAACAATTAATAAGTGTAACTTAATACTTTACATCCTTTTTATGAATCCGAAAATCTTTCATTATTTTTTTTTTGTATTGCATTTGATTTTTTTCTATAAAAAAAAACCATACCTCCAATATGCTGAAAATCTGCAAAATACTGACTCAAGCCTTGTTTACTGATGTCGTCCTTCATATCTGCAACTACAAGGTATACTGCACTACTAGTTAAAAATGCTTGATGTGTAGCATAAAATTCCTTCTGACCTGCAAAGTCCCATAATTCACATAATGCATACAGGTTCGAAGGAGTATTTACAGTTGACTTAGAAAACACATTAGGCATTAAATCCTCAGGCATTACCAATAACGAAGACTGATTCATATCGTTACTTTCATCCAGATTAATTTTTGTTTCCGTTTTTATGTCATTTTTATAAGAAGACATCTTGTCAAGAGTACTTATACTGCTATTCGTTGTCTCATCTACCTGCGTATGTTTAACGTCTGTGGCCTCGGCACAGTCATTAGGTGCTATATCCTCCGAAGTATCATGGCTATCATTAATTGACCTATTTTCTTCTGCATTGCCTTCTCTTTTTCCTGATTGCATAGATTTACTAGGATCTATTTTTCTATTAGTACCTTTTGTAACATCCATTGTTGTTTTTTCTTCTGCAATAATTGCTCTCTTAATCCGACCAAACTTGTCATCTTTAATTCCTGGCAGAAAAGAAACAAATGATTTGTTTTTCAATGTGACAAACAATACTACCTTTTTACAACTAATTTCAAGGCTATCGATTGGCATTAGTGATCATTTACCATACCATCCATACGGGGTGTAACTTTTATTTTATTGGTTCATAAAAATAGTATAATGTAGTTATTGTTACGTTTATTAAGTAAATATCAGCATTAATCAAAATGAAAATATTGTGTTTCCATGCGTTCCCCCAAATACAACGGTTAAAATATCCGAAGGATGACTAGGGTATAAAAGGGATTTGAAAAAGTGCATTACCCATTTTTGGAGTCTAATTTACACCTCTTCGAAAATGCAGACTGGATCTGATAAGAAAATACATGTCAGGGGTCCATAAAGGGAATATTCTGTTTGACTGTAATTGTTCCAATTTTAATTTGATAAATCAAACTATTTCTATAAACAATAACTTATAGCATTAAAATGTAAGGAACAGTTTAAATAATTATTAAACTTTTCGGATATTAGCTATTCAAATAATACATAAAGAGATATGTCTGACTGCGAGAATATGTCACTAGTAAGTTGAAGCAATGGCAAATCGAATCGATCAACCAGTTAGTGATGGTGACCGTTAAACTTACGCGATGTCGATTTCAGACGTCCTGCCTCATAGCTTTGTGGGAGCAGTTTTTCTATAAGGAGCACACTATTTATAAAGTCCACACAGTGTGAGCATGCACAAGCGTAAATGTATTAAACAATATCAAAAAGCATGGTCCTAAATCAATTTTTCCGAGATTGTTGTCATATATATGTAATTTAAGATTATGCTTTTGAACATCATAATGTCTCTTCTCTAATTGAAATTGATAGTTCATTAGTTGCATTTGTAGAAGTTTTAATTAACCACCAATATTCTTTACGATATTTCTCAATGTTTATAGATACCAGTAAATATTAAAGTTTGTTATGGTGCCACAAAAGGTTGGCGATGAAAGATTAAAGGGTTTATGGAAGAAAACAATCTTCACGTGACATATAGATTATACTAATTTGTCTTTTCAGTATAGTTGTACTGCAAAGTATATTTTGTTATATGGCAAAAGATACGAAAGGTAAGTAAAGGTAAACAGGTGTATTCGATTTATGACTTCTGTAAATTATGATCATCATGTATCAACCCTGAGTATTTACATACTTTTGCCGATTGTCCATTTGCCGTTTTCTATGTTGATTTTGCATCTACGAACAACAATATCCACACCATCTGTACTAGAAACATCGGATATGCCTTCCTTCAATAATCTTCTCAAGAGGCATGTTTTCCCAGCTGATTCTTTTCCAACTATCATAATTCGTACAAAATACCTGTTTTCGGTTTTTGAACCCTGCAGAAGCTTAATGTATCTTATTTTATCTACTTCTGATAATTGGTTTATGGCTTCTGGCAAAACTGAAATAAATTTACATCTGTAACGTAATATTTGAAATAAAAAAAAAAACGAAAGAAAATAGAAGTGTCTTAGAATAAACAAAAAGGTGTTCAGTAGCAACAACACAATAAAGTAACAAATTATATTCAAACAAAACCTGATCTGAGGTTGACATCTCTTTATTCGTTAAACATGTTAAATATTGCATAGAATATGATGTAATCTATTATTCTTGCTTGAGTTCTTTTGTTATCATCAGATTTCAACAAAAATTATGTGTGTTTGGTTGAATAGGCATATATCTGTTATTAAATACACATATTTTTAACTAACATGAAATGTAAAAAACATACACTTAACTCGAATTTGAGTAAAATATATATATCTTCAAAGCTCACATAGGAACGCTTAATACGTATCTCTTTTTATACTAAAACAAGTTAGTCTGTTAGATATTGTCTTTGTGTTAAAAGTGTATTGAAGCCCCAAAGCTAAATAACGTATAATGTAAGTTTGTAATGTTTTCGCACAAAATAGACAATCATGTGCAATGTGTATGGCGAAACAGCGAAGAAGTCTTATTTAATGTACCCCTGCTAATGTGTGGCGGTTGGCATATTCGATTACAATGAAACATTCAGTACAAACCTATAATTTGAAGAAATGCGAGTTGGAAAACAAATATAAATGCCGTTTTGACTTTAAAATATTCTCCGTCTGTTGAAAATTCTAGATAATTACTAGGTCAGAAGCAGGCATTTTGGTAAAAAAAAGTCTCCACCTCATACATAGTCCTGATTCCAAGTTCGAGTTTGGCTTCACTGCAAGTCATTGGGGTTTAATTAGTTCATTACCGTTTGAATTAGGTTTTAATTATCTAATACTTGTACCAATATGATCAGTTTTTTTGGATAAGCATCCATACTTAACAAATTGTAGAATAAGTTTATCCACATCACAGTCCCTCTCTCGGGTTCTTGTCAGCTTTGTCTGTACTTTTTGTATATTTTGATTTTATAAGCTCTTCCTTTTTTGAAATATGTCGGCCTCTAGCATCACTGAAGATACATTTATGGTTGAAATGCATATGTGGTTCGGTGAAATCAAAACTTTAATGTTATTGCAAAGTATAAAATGCATGTCTCTAATCTGTTTGAAACAAAGATGTAGAGCCAGGAACCCCCCAAAAAACGGCCCTGTAAAGGTGTTTTTTTAAAGCTTCTATAATGGGTATCTGTTGCTAAATATATGATATATGAAACTATAATACGAAAATTATATATCTGCTCCATGATTATAAATATATGTGCCTGAAATAGGAATAAATTTCATTTTCCTCAATATTTCTATAAATTTGTCAACTTTTTTCACTTTTTTTATGATTTTGTATAATATGTCGCCAACCCTTGCCTATTGAAAATTTTGTCGAAAAGTAAGGAATATAGCATAAAGAGAAAATTTCAGCAATAATATTTGTTTGCGAAGCGTGGCAGTACTGTTATTTTGTTTTAGATACCTCTCACAAATATTACACAATTCCGCAAAAAAATCAGGTTTTTTAAATATTCCCATCATTATGACGTCACTAAAGACACAATATGTTTGAACTGATTCAATTGGACATTTTTACTTATATATTAATCAAATGTCCACTACATTATCACAGTGAAAAAAAAATCAGATGTTTATGGCCAAAATTATGAGTTAATGAACCAACTCCTTTGTAGTACCTAGGTGTTCGATGAATTGTAAAATTTAGTTTCATATGAAATTGCAAAAAAATGGTCGTTGAAAAAAAAAACCATCAACCACTAATCATACAACATTTGGCTAGTGATTGACTCTATGCTATTTTGTTAAATTTTGTTTTATTAATTATAACGAATAACAACAATAGTAGTTAAAATATTTCTATGTAGCTCTTATAGGTGCACTCGACTCCAATCTTAATTGACTAGGATATCAGTTTTCCTACCGAAGGTCGCTGGTTTTCTCAGGGGACTTTGACTTCCTCCACCAATACAAACTGACCATCACGAAATAGCAAAATAGTGTTGAAAGTGGCGCTAAACACCAATCAATCAATCTATGTAGCATTTCTTTTGCTTAATTGCAAAATATTTGGTATGCATGTGGAACTTCAATAACTATACAAGAAACGCTGTGATCGCAAAATATGAACTTCTTCAAAAAACATCAATTAATTATAGTTGAGCAATAATTTAAATAAGGACAGCAGGTGTCAGCCATTAATTATGTTGTTCCACCAATTTGCGATTCTTGAACAATTGAGAAAAAACATACTAGACTAATCACTTCTTATTTTGAAAAGGTGGATTTTCTGGAAATTTGATTGCTTTTGGATGACAATGAGTCTATCGTGCAAAACTGAAACTGCCAAGTGAAGATTCGCAAAAGAGAGTACCACACATGTAACACGTTAATGACCCCGACAACTCTCGGGGGGTCTGAAGGTTGACATATTTTCCAGTGGCAGTAAAAAAAGTCCCGCCCTTCATCCCAGTTGCTTTTGTATAAATTCTAAATTTGTTCTGGTCATATTTTCTGCATCAATTAACTGACACTGGATTAAAACAAGCAATACTGAAGAATCCGTCGGAAAAGATTCAACATTTGTACTCATTTTGGCTTGTTCAACAAAGGAACTGGAAATCAAAATAGGTACAGGAGTTTGCTCCTTTCAGTCGTTTTCATGGGAAAATGTCGCTGTATCACAACTGTAAAAATGTCAAAGACAGTTCCATGATCATTATTGAAACATATTATTTATGCTTTGTGTAATATTCAAATCTATAGCATTTACTATATGCGTATTTTTAGGAATTGACAAAATTGCATACGCATGTCTTCTTTTCACTTTCTTCTATTTTATGTACTGCACAGTTCTTAAATTGTTATTTAAGACACTGAAATTCATAAATTCTTACATATGTGTGGGTTAGGTCTTACACAAATAAAGATATAAATACAGGAATAGAACGAATACAAGCTTGATTGAAGAATTGTTGTTTGATTTATGTTTTGAGGCAAAACGTTCATACATGTTCAGGACGAGAACAAATTAATAATAAATACAATAGGTAAGTCATGTAATCGTAGTTGACTTACGGACCCATAAGAGAGATGTTGCAAGGGTTCTTAGTGTGCATAAAACTCGACACTCTCTTATAGCTAGCTAAATCTCTCAAATTATATTGACAGCAATGCGTGAGCATAACAAACAGACATAATAGGTAAAAACTTCAAACATTTGGGTACAGCAGTCATCATTGTAATATAATCTTAATCACTATAAAAACAAATAACTGTTTCAACAAAGAAACACAAAATGGTATAAAGACAAAGTACATAAGTAAAAATGAAAGACAAGGATTAAAAATTTGACGTTTTTACCTATCATGTCTGTTTGTCATGCTCACACCTTGTTGTCAATATAAAGGAATTCTATACGACCGTCATACAAGTCAGAGGTTAAGCTATCTATAAAACCAGGTTAAATCCACCATTTTCCACATACGGAAACCATTTTCTTCATACGGAAATGCCTGTAACAAGTCTGGAATATGCCAGTTGTTTTCCATTCGTAAGATGTGTTTGAGCTTTTGATTTTGCCATTTTATAAAAGACTTTCCGTTTTGAATTTCCCTTAGAATTCTATGTTGTTGTTTTTTAAATTTTTTTTCTCTATTCCCTAGTCACTCTTGAGGTCTGTATATTTTATTTACTTACTATTTTGTGGCATAATTCTATAAACAATGATACAAACAATGACTGAAAAAAAAAACAATTTCATATTTAGAATAGAAGTCCCTAAATGAGAATTTATCTCGAGAGTACCAAACCAATAAATCATTACAGTTGAAAATAAACATTCTGAAAGACATATGAAACACAATTCTACAAACACATGGTATTGGTAGGCAAACTGCTGTATTGTCCAATACATTATGTTATTATTGTTTTATCTTGTATGTATAATTTCAACAATAAAACCGCAGTGATTATCTAATGATACAATAGATATAAGAAGATGTGGTATGAGTGCCAATGAGACAACTCTCAATCCAAGCCACATTTTGTAAAAGGTCAAAGTACGGTCTTCAACACGGAGCCTTTGCTCACAACGAACAGCAAGCTTTAAAGGGTCCCTAAAAATGACTATTGTAAAACCATTCAAACGGGAAAACCAACGGTCTAATCTATATAAAAAACGAGAAACACTTATGAACCACATCAACAAACGACAACCACTGAACATCAGTTTCCTGACTTAGGACAGGTGCACACAAATGCAGCGGGTTGGAACGTTTTAATAGGTACCAAACTTCACCCTTATCTAACACATTAGTGTAACATCACAACATAGAAAATCACACTATAAAATATCAATTGAAATGGCTTCACTCAATCAAAAGACATATTAACACAAGTGAACATACACTGAACGAATACATTTGATCTATGATACAATGTAAATACAAAATCAATAAAATAAGGAGTGAGATGTTAAACAATTTCAGAAAAACAACCATAATCTTGAACAAAATGCCGCCAAATAGAATAATGTACACAAGTAAATGAAAATAATTTTGTACAGTAATGGAGAACGGAATATTTTTTTGTCATAGTACGAGAACAGGAGTAAAAATTTATAGTCATACCAAACAATTATCAAAGCTGGTATATAATAAAAATAGAGAGAGACGAGATATAACTTTAAATAAGTAAACATTAAATAACAAAAAAACATTACAAATTGTATCAACAGGTCAAATTAACACGAAAGTACGATTTGAGAGTACTTTCAGTTACTGAAAGCCAAAAACAATAAATAATAAAAAAAAATCCTGCATCAGAGACTACAATCAACTAAAACACATCACAGGGATTTAGTACTTTAACGTCATGGACAGTCAAAGAAGACGTGAATTGTGAAATGCCAAAAATAAAAGTATTGACAGGCAGTAGGATAATTAGGAGTTAACCTCTATATAAAAAATGAATGTGAGTGTGTATTTATACACCCCGTTTGAAAAGAATACAACTTTAGTTATGTTTTAATTTGATGATGACAAAATCGATTTTTTTGCCAAAACAAACTATATTCAAAAATCTAATTACAACATTGGTAAGATAAACTTTACTAATAAGTTTGTTTTAAGGTTCGATGAGTTTACATGGATCTCATAGTGATTTCCACGCTTTAAGTACAATATTACCGTAAAATTTAGGATGTGAAATACCGTTTTAATAAGTTTTCAACAGGTACAGCCAAATTTACTAATCGAATCTTTGTATCTATGAAAGAATTTAATAAAGGTTTTCAGTAATTTATGGTAACGAAATCCCTGACTTAATAATTTACCAGTGATGCATTGATTACTTTCGTTAAAATCTATGACATCACTACACACACGGCATAACGAACGAGTTGGGATATATAAACACCGTATGATGGAGCCAAAGGAACATCGCCGTCTAAAAAAGAAAAATTAACAGTAGGGAATGAAAAATCGTCTCTTTTGTCGTAAATTTCAGTATGGAGTTTCCCTTTAGAAATTGAAATGTCGAAATCTAGAAAAGGACAACTACTGCTGTTTATGTTAGATTTAGTTAGAATAAGTTCCTTAGGGTAAATTTCGATAGTATATTTAGAGAACTCTGGATTTTTTAACGAAAAAGTATCATCATGATAACGGTAGGTACATGTATTGTTGTATGTATTAACCAAATGTAACAATGACGTGTCTTTACTGAGTTAGGTCATAAACTGAGATTCATAGCAACACAGGAATAAATCTGCTATGAAAGGGGCGCAGTTAGTGCCCACAGGAATACCTACTACCTGTCGATACACATTATCGCCGAAACGTTCATATATGTTCTCCAGGAGAAATTTAAAGCTTTAATCCTATCTTTACATTTCCAGTAAATGTATCTAGCATACTTTCCTTTTTCGTTACAGAAAAGGGCTTTAAACGAGTTACAGCAAATAATTTACAATGAGATTTTTCAAAAGATCATTTAAATAAATATGAAAACTTTGTCTTGATAAGATTGTGTGGAAGTGTAGTGTAGAGAGTAGAAAAATCATAACTGCCAACAGAATGAAAAGGACCATCAAAAGCATGTATTTTATCTAAAACCTCTAAAGAATTTTTAACACTCCAAAAATAATTAATACCATTATTTTCATAAGCTTTATAACAAAAGTTAATAACAAGTTCTTTGATAGTAGTAAGGGAGGTAGTAAGAAGCACTGAAAGATTAGTAGTAGAACACTTACTAGATGTGGAGATTAAACGGAATTTAAATGGTTGTTTGTGCAATTTAGGTAACCAGTACATAGTAGGGACTTTCAAATGTTCGGAAGAGGCTTTAAGCTGGGTAGTGACAGTGATATGCTTGTTAACAATTTGACTCTCTTTAATGTTTGTTAAAGTACGTAAATTGAAAATGGGAACAACGACAAGGTCAAAACAATATCTTATTATTACTTATGTATTAACACACGTGGCGATTGGGAGTAAGAGAAAATGTAAATTATTTGATTTAATGCTTTTACTCTTGATCTTGAAATATTCGGTATTCTTATTTTGTTTTCTCGCCTGAATTTTACATTAAAATATCTGTGTTGAAACTCAATCGTACATTTTGAAATTCAGTTCAATCATTCCTATAGTTTACTATATTTTAAAGTTTTACATTTAAGATTGATCATTGATATATGTTTCCCTCAGATAGAATTTTTTGACACTTTGCCAGAATAAAGGTTTTCCCATGCTCTTTTCAAAAATAAAATAAAAAGTATTGGTCACCGTCCTATTTTTCAAGCTAGAAATCGTGCAAAATTTCCAAAATTTGCATAATTTTACATGAAAAAACACTTTTTTGTGAATAAAAATAATTTTTGGCGACATAATTTTGAAAAAAAATGTAAGAAGACAGGTTCTGAAATGTGCTTTAAGATTATAAAAAGAAGAAAAAACGGCGTCATCAACCTTGTTTTCTCGCCACAAGTAAAAATTCAAAATTTCTCTTATCATTCTTTTATAAAAAAAATTTTAATATAGTTATCTCCACTTAAATGGATAAGTTGACAATTTGATTCGAATAAGCAAAATATTTCGTATTTGATAAATCAGTCTGAATAATGTGATAAATCACTGATTTTTTTCTTAATTCCAATAAACAGTCTAACCCATTAATTGCCAGTCTATCTAAAAATATGCAGATAAAGCAAAAAAACTAGACCTATTGTGAACTGCTATTTTACAATCCAAGTTAGTGGTATACAGTTATCTACCTTAAAAGAGAACTTTTAATATCCGAAAATATATTTGATATAACGACTTAGAACCAATGACAGTATTACCATCAGTGATACTGAAATTTTGTTTTGTTGTGTCAATGACTTGATTATGACTATTGTTTTATTACATTGGAAAAGGGTTGACACTGCCAAAAGCAGTTGGTTGTGCAAAAATATTTTGTCAATATTGAAAGCACCGAAGTTTATAATTCACACTGACTTATGCTAACTGTTAAAAATAGCTTGACTTCTTGATTTTAAACAAGAGGCTCTCAAGAGCCTGAATTGCTCACCTGTATTTCAGAGAAAAAGTTTTTTAAATGTTAGCAAACTTGATGAACAAATTGTGTAAAATTGTCTTTAAAGGGCAATAACTCCTTAAGGGGTCAATTGACAATTTTGGTCATATTAACTTTTTTGTAGATCTTACTTTGCTGAACATTATTGCTGCTTACAGTTTATATATATCTATAATAATAAAAACAAAAAACTGCAAAATTTTTACCAATTCGGTGGCAGCAACCCAACAATGGGTTGTTCGATTCGTCTGAAAATTTCAGAGCTGATAGATCTTGACCAATTGAACAATTTTACCTAATTTCAGATTTGCTCTAAAAGCTTTAGTTTTTGAGATATAAGCCAAAAACTGCATTCGACCCCTATGTTCTATTTTTAGCCATTGGGGCCATGTTTGTCTATGGATCAAAACTTTGGATACAATTTATAAACTAGATACCCTAAGGAACATTTACTTAAAGTTTGAAGGTATGTGACCCAGTAGTTTCAGAGAAGAAGATTTTTGAAATAGTTTACGACAACAGACGACAACCGACGACAGACGACGGACGACGACGGACGCCAAGTGATGGCATAAGCTCACATGGGGCCTTTCGGGCCTCGGTGAGCTAAAAAAGAAATGAAACAATGCAAGGTATATAACCAATCATCAAATGAACAAACAAACTCTCCTTATATTCATATAAGCAAGCATTGATCATAGGGATACTTACATGCCTAAAACAAAATCGACGTACCTAACATGATTCTAAAGGGTGAAACCCTAAAATAAATTATTGTTTCTGCGAATTTTGGTATTCGTTGAAATCGGTATATATTCAGAAAACCTGTGAAAATGCCATTGGATTGATAATAAGTATGGTTTACACCATTAGTAATTAGAAACTCATATAACATGTTTAATACAAATTTCTTTTGAAAATAAAAATGATTTTGACATATTCTTTATCAATGTCATCACGCCCAATGTTGGATGACTATATTTGCTGTAGCGTTTTCCTTGTCACCGTTTTAAATATATTTGTGTTTGCTGTAGTTCAATCATCTATAACTTCAAGTTTGTACATGAATTTCTAACAGGTGTTTCCAAGCATAACTTTGTCTTCTTCGTAGAAAGACCTTTTAGTTTTGTTATGGTATTTTTTCTTCTTCGCCGATTTGT